ACTGCTGGAAAAGAAATTGAGAGTTCCTAGTGCAACAAGTTTCTAACTGTAATCAAACTCATGGTTGCTACCAAAATTGTGTCTAAACTGAGAGCCAGTGTGATACATAGGAAAGAACATGGGCCTGTAAGACACAACAACATGGGATCAAATCTGGTTGTGGCTAGAAGTACTGGTTAACTTCCAGTTACTGCCCCCAACCCCTCCATTCCATTCTCTACACTCCCATAACCTACTGTCTGCCCTGGGACACTGGCCCCAGTAGCTCCCTTGAATGTTGGCATTTGATTGGGTTTATCCAGTGGAAAATAATTGCAGTACATAAGAAGGCAGGAAATGAGAGGGGCTGGGTTTCTTTTCCCTTCTTCCATAGCACATTGCAGGCAGTAGCAATGAGTAACACCTGCAAGCCTCCACTACTAGAGTCCCGGCCAGTCTTCTCCCTCCTCTCTAGTTCTAGTTCTCATTGGGTACTAATTTCCTCCCTTGGTCTCTGAGGCTGCCAGAAGGAACCTTGTCATTCCTTTTGCACTCCCTTTACCCCACCCACGTCTCTCTATACAGAGGTCATTATTAACCTCTCTGCATTTGAACCATCTGGGAAGAATTATTTCCTACCAATATCCTGACTGACATAGGTACTCACTTACTAGCCATATAATCTTGATCCTTTTACCTTTCTTTAGTATGGTTTACTGTTTGGTCTACTGAAAAAAATAGGAATAATATTTGCAGTATTCTTATAAAAAATATACATTACATGCTCTCTGATACCATGTTTGTTAAGCTCATGGCTTGCACTAGACACCTGATACAGGGCAACAGAAGATAAAAATAAAGATAACAGACAAAAAAATGCAGGCTCTAATGTGTTATTACATGACCTATGCTGAATATAATATTTCAGTTTTCATTGGCTTATGATACCCATGATTATACAGATCCTTTGTTTTATCCTTCTATTTATTTTACAGGAATTTGGTTGTGTTCTACTCATCTGCATTACATCCATAGAAACGAAAAAGAAATATGTGGAATTAAATGTAACTGAAAAAAATTACTAAACATCAACCCTATGTCATGCATTATAGTCAGCACAAGAAACACGATGATGGGAATGAAGTGATTCCTGCCTTAGAGTACCTCAAGCTAGTGGGAGTTAACTGCTATTTTTTATTTAGTTATTTTCTCCTTTGATGTAAACTTTAAATTTACAGACAATGAAACATACTAATGTTAAGTATGCACTTGTCTTAAGAAATGTACATACCTATGCAACCCAAACATCTATCGTGATATCAACCCCCAAATTTTTTCATGTCAATTCCCAGATTCCCCCTGCCCCCATTCCTGCACTGTTCTGGTTTATTTTATCGTATATTAATTTTCTTCCTCCCTTGTATATGAAATCTCATTATTTTCTGGCTGCTTCAAGATTTCCCCAATACTCTTGGTTGTCAGCAGTTTGATTATGCTATGCTTTTGTTACTGTTATCACTTTATTGCCTCATAGGTCCCCAAAGTCCTATTCATTTTTTTCAATCTTATTTTCCCTGTCTTCAGATTAGTCTTCTATTAACCATCTTTAAATTAACTGATGACTCTATCATCTCCATTCTGCCGTTAAACCAACCTAGGGAATTCTAATTTTGCTTATTCTATTTCAGTTCTAGAATTTACATTTATTTCTATTTCTCTACTGAGATTTTCTATGTTTTGCATGTATTATTAACTGATTTTCCATGACTTCATTGAATATAATTATAATAACTGCTTTAAAATATACATCTGCTAACTCCAACATCTGGATCATCTCATGGTTGATCTCAATTGAATTTTCTTTCTTTCTTTTTTTTTAGAGATTGGTTGCCCAGACAGAGAACAAATTTGTATTACATCCCAGGCATTGTAAATATCATGTTGTAGACACTCTACATTCTGTCATGCTCCTCAAAAGAGTATTGATGTTTTTGCTTTTACAGGATATTAACTTGGTTACACTCAATATGCAAATTATGTCTCTTGAGTAGCAGCTCAATTTCAGTTCAGTGTTTCATCACTAGCTAGGAAGCTTTGAGTCTTTCTGCACTTGCACAGATCAGAGGTCAGCCAGAGGCTTGAACAGTATTTTTATAGAGAATTTGGAGCTCCCTTTCTCTGGCTTTCTGTATCTTAGGAGTCCCTCTCTCATTCTCATGGCTATATTCCCCAACCTCTCCCCCTCTGTTTTTCAGGTCAAAAAGACTTCAGATTTCTATCATGGTTTTAACTACTGTGTACATTACTGACCTTGGCCTGCCCTCAGAATAAAAGCCACAAAAACAGGAAACTCATTTTACTCTAACCCCTTCTAACAAATTTTGACCTCTCCTCCTGAATCTGCTTCCTGTTTTTCACTCTTTAGTAACTTCAGGTCATCGTTTTCTTGTATCTTATCTGAAGATTAAGTTGTTACCTGTAGAAGGGTTGTTTGGAGAAGAAATTAAGGAAATAAGATATAAAACATGAAATTGGTGTATGCAATTGATAGATGTTTTGTTATAATAAGGTAAAATATAAGAAGTAAGCAGTGCTGTTGCATACATGGGGGGTTAGTACACCTAACATAAATTAATGAATCGATCAGAAAGAGCTTTCTGTTAGAAAATCATCTAAGCTGAAATTAGAAAGATGCATAGGAATTAGCTGAGCCAAGGAATGCTTGGAGTTGGAAAATTTCTTATTTAAAATAATAATAATAAAAGGCTTCTGCATGGGTCTTTCTGGTGTGGGAGATAGCACTAAATCATTCTAAGAGAAGATTCATCACTTACTGAAATATAAAGTTGGAGGTTTCAAGTAGTAATTCAGCTATCTTGGGTTTAAGAGACTTATAACTATAAAGTTCTTAAAACCTCTTCTTATCTAGGAAAAATTACAATATGACTGTAGCTTTATATGTAGCTTATTCTCAGAGAAATGCTAATGTAACTACATAGTTTGATACGCAAATTAGGCTGACTTTCTTGTATGTTATTAAAAGTAGACATATTTCTTTTTATCATTTGCTGCATAAACACTTTAAAAAATGAAAAGTTATAAAAATTCAAGGTCTTCATATCAACTTATGCGTATCATTGTAGTTCATTCCAAGTAGATAAAAACATGAAAGTTAATATTACTAAAGTTGTTGATAGGATAAGAGTTACTCAGAGTTAAGGCAAGGAAACAGAGTTGACATTTCTGACTAGACATTCAAGAAAGAATGTGTCCTTGCCCAACTGTAATATGAACAGCAATGGCACAAAGTCATAAGCAAATACTTATTGCCTATTGACTCATCTGTGCCTTGGTACTTTCAAGTTTTCTTTGCTCTGTTCATCTTATAAATAAATAAATAAATACTTTACAGACTGAAACTGATTCCAGCTGTACCAACTTTGAAAAAGTATGGAATATATCAACACTGTCTTTTTCTCCTATTAGTGTGGAATGTCCAAGAAGCTCATTGATTGAAACTGGTTTTACAACAGATGCCAAAAAAAATTACTAGCAATTTCTAAACAAATATTAACAGCCATCAACTATTTGAACACTCAAAAGAGAACAGAAAGCTTGACTATGACTCAAAGCAGAGGGGGCAGCGTGATCTATTCTTGTGTTTTTTATAAGTAAACCTAGAGAAAGAATGACCTTCAGCAAAGCAGCTCTTTATTGCTGAAAAAGAATGATACTGTGTGATGCCACCCTGAGTCAAAGAAGCCAGCATATACCAGGATTGAAAAGAAATGAAGTGATAAACATTTTACAAGAAAAACTCAGAAGAAAATACCAATGCCTCTGGCATACTTAATGCTGTTTCTTTATTTGCTATTATAAATGTTCCATGTGTGTTTGGGGCACAGTTCAGTTTGATACTAAGCACTGCTTACTAATGACATTAAGAAACATCTGGAGGCTACGTAAGAGGGGCCCATTAAGGGTCTTTATTTTTTTCAGGAGTAATGGACAGTTTATCTCTGAAAGCAGTCATTTTTAGAGAAGACAAAGTCTGGCAGGCAAGGAGAGGAGCAACATTGAGAACAGAATATTATCTAAATTTGTCTTAAAGAGCATCCCCCAAGGACTGATCTAGATCTAAATAGGGAAGGTTGTCAGCACACAACCTGAAAGATCTATGTGTAATTGTAAAATGCTGAGAAATGAGGCAGTCAACTTGCTGCCAGACACTGGGACCCCAGAATCAGGGTTGGCTTAAAGGAGGAAAGTGCTGTCACATTAAGACACCAGAGACTCTACATTAAGACACCAGAGACTCACCAGAGAATCATGGCATCATAGCATACTTCAGAACCAATCAGGAACCACAGTTGAGGTGGCAGTGGGGAGGGGGCACCCACAGCCCAGCAGACACTGAAGGCTCCAGAGGCAGGTTCCAAACCAGGGAAACAGAAAGCTGAAAACCATGAGCTCATACTATGGCTTATTTGTGAGCACACATGAGACATGACCTGGTCACTTCCAGAAATAATAAGGAGATTTCTCAGGGCGCAGAAGCCTCACTGAGATAGAAAATGATTATTATTGTGTATTGAGCAATGACTAAGTATCAGACACTGTGTTATTGCTTTTCTTATATTCATTCAATACCTACAACAAACCTATAAGATAGGTTCTATAAGTACCACCACGTTACATGTGAATACACTTAGACTCAACTTTTACTTTTTATGGTCTGAGAAAACATAGGTGAGGTATATTTGTAACCAGTAAGGAATTAGAAGGCTGTGCCTTCAACACACTAGAATATTTCACAAGTCTGTTAGCTGAACATTTTCCTAGCATATAACCAGGTGCAAAGTAGATAAATAAACTCAACCATTCAACACTGGAGATGGGTTCTTGTTTCAGGGGCCCTAGGATACCTTTTGTCTGAGAAAAGCCCTAAACACATTCACATATTTCTTTCACCTCCTGCCAACTTTCTGGTCAATAGCATTGAACTACCTCAGTTTCCTTACCTATGACACTTCTCCTCATTGATGCAGAATCTTATTCAATACAGAACTGTGTTTGGCTGGAGTCTGAACCTGCTTCTAGAATTAGAAAAAGAACAAAGTTACATAAAAAATCAAAATAAGATAAGTTCTCGAAGTAAGAAAACAGTTAAGTTTCAAAAAATGTGATGTCAATTTCCTGCAACATTGGATTGCCAATGGCCAACTAAAAATTAAACTGGATAATTTCTAAGTAGTAAGTATAAAATGATACAATTTTCTGTTTAACTTGTAATTTCTTAACATTTGTGTTTCAGTTTATAACACAACAAACATTTTTGCATTCATTGTCTTATAGGATTCTTAGAATATTTGCAGGATTTTGGCAAGTGCTCATTACAGAGGCAGAATAGAATGGAATGGAATGGAATGGAATGGAATGGAATGGAATAGAATAGAATAGAATAGAATAGAATAGAATAGAATAGAATAGAATAGAGCCAGGATGTCTGGGTTGCAAATCTGATTTGCCTTTCATTGTCTCTACAAACTTAACCAAATAACAATCTTCTTATGACTCAGTTTCTTCATCTATAAAATGGGATGACAATAATAGTAATGAGAAAAGAACTTTTATCTGAGGAATACAAGTCGTTTTAATTACCAGGCCCAGAGAGACAATAAAATTAGGCTGCAATCGTATCCTGCTCTCCTCTTTGAGCTATGTATTCATCTATTGAAACTGCTTTCTTTTGCTGCTAGTAGTTATAGATCAACCTAATAATGCCATTCCAGACACTTTAACCCACACCCTACAGCTTAACAATGGATAGCCAATCACTAATCAATGTTATTTCTGTAAACCAAGGAGAATTCCTGAAAAACAACTTTGTATCAACCCACTCCCTGTCCCCTTTTTCATTGCCTTTAGAAATGCACTGGAAACTGTTGCTGATCAGAGTAAATATTTAGGGCAACTTGAATCTATTCTTCCTTCTGGTTTGCAATCCTAAGGCTTGGTTCAGATACATTATCTGCTTATATTAATTTTGCCTCAGCTTCTTCCTTCTAGGCTGACAGTATCTGGTGTGTGGGAGACAAATAGATGACATGCTATATGTGAAGTAGCTGGCACAGCGCTTGGCACATAATAAACACCTTACTCCATGCCAGGTGCAGCTACTAGTGCTTCACATAATTAATTAATTTAGCCCTCATGACAACTCTACAAAGTAAATACTACTATCCATGTTTCACAGGTCGGAAAGGCAAATCACAACGAGGCTCATAACTTGTCCAAAAGCATATATTATCTGCGTGTTCAATCTTTTATTCTTTTTTTCTTCTTAGTAGAAGCATTCTCTTGTTTACAGTTAAAAAAACAAATCTTATAGAAAGGACCTGCCCATATTATTTCATTAGAAAGTTGTAGAAATGGAATTTGTGCCTACATTCTTTACCCTATTCACATAATGAAAAGGAGATTATAGAATTGTGTGAACATTTTATTTCACAGGGTATATGAAAACACTGTTCTTGTGTACCAACATTCATTCAAATGTTAATATAAATATGACTTATATGAAATAGAGCTTTTAAAATAAAATGAAAACCTTAAAAATGACTGTTAAAAAAACAGGCTGACTAATAGGGAATCCTTCAATATACTCCTGAGGAATCAATTTAAAATTCAGGATTCATGGAATCACTAGATACTTCAATTGTTTATCAGTGGTTCTTAACATAAATTTATGTTATGAGCAATTGCTCTTTTTTTCTTCTATCGAGCTCCCAACCTACTTGATATAGATGGAAATAAAACACTCAGTGAATGAATAAACAAACATCAATGAAACAATTATTCTGGACCCACCTCCACAAAACTCACTGCAGGAAACCAGCATAGAAGTGCAAATGAAACAAAAATACCAGCATTGATCTAGTATCAACCTACCACTGACAGAAAATCCACATTCTGTAAACATGGTAAGAACATGTAGTTACTAAAGAGTGTGCACTAAGTTCATCCCCAGAATCAAGTGGTAAAGATTCTCATAGTTCCTTTAAAGGTGCTCTAACCCTTTCTGCTTTGTTTCATTTTTGTTTTGCTTTTTGCTTTATTCAATTCTTACTCTTTTTCAACATTTTAAATTATTCATGAACAACATTTTTCTAGCATAAGAGTTTGTATAGGGAGTTGAGCCTGTAGTTGCCTGACCTTTGGTGGGCCATGGTTTCTGTGATTGCCTGTTTGCCATTACTGGGCATGGAAGAAGGAAAGGATACCCAAATTAACCCCCAGGTTTCAGACATACTTCTCTCTCACTCCCATTGTCTGGTAGCACCCCTAGTTTTTAATGGTAGTCAAGGCTGATCACGTTACTAGTTCATTAGCTTCTTTCTTTGCTTGCTGATCCATTAGCATGACAAAGGTGAAGAAACTAAATGACAATCATGGTTTCAAGTTCAGTAGATAAATTATTTACTGTCTCCTGATGGAAGTGTTTCTTTCTGGGAATTGGAAACTCTGTTGGTACAGAGGCTTATGCTGTGGGACGGCAAGCACAAATTTTAAATGCAAATTAATCCATAGAGTTAGGGTGAGATGGACCAATTCTACTCTCCCTTGGTTCTTGAATCCATATATTCTAGCTATTGGGGGCACAGCATTGTATATTGGTCATTGTTTCAGCTCCTGTACTGCACTTTGGAGGTCAGCATCCCAAATCCACACTTGTTAGCCTTGACCTTGTACTCTAGCCAAGTCTTTAACAGGCAATCCATCACCATGTTATTCAGTCAATTCTGGATAATGCCATACTTAATAGCTAGTATGTCCTTCTTTGCCATCCAGTGGGTTTCTTGATCTAAGGCAATGTCATTAGATCAGGCATTCTGAGTGCCTTCTGAAGATGGTGCTAGCAAATACCAAGGGGGTAATGAAGACAAACTCCAATCTAGAAGAGGTACGTACAGCTCTGGAAAGGAAGAACTTCATCTTCTCCAAGAAACGAGGAAACATGAGAAATATATGCATTGACCAGCCTCCCTTAGGACATTAACTCCCTCATGCTTCTGGATTGGGCACTAAGATGTACATGTAAATGTACAGAGTCTCCAATCCTCTACATCAAGAAAGCCCAGTGCAGGAAATGAGAGTTTTGCAGGATGAGATGAGCCCACAGATTGCTGGTTGCTTCAGCAGCAGCTGGAATAAAACAGGGCAAGGTGAAGTATGAACTCAGGCAGCCCATAATATAGGGCTTCCTTTTTAAACAGCGCTGTAACTTTAAAAATTATAGTGACCTGATGCATAGTTACAAGACTCATGGACACAGTAATCTAAGAGTAGTAGCAGACATTCATAGCTAACATTCATACGGCAGTTTCTATTTGCCTGATATCCATCTAACGGCTTTACATATATTAGGTCATTTAATCGTCACCACCAACCAATGAAAGAATATAATCATGCAGTTGAGGAAGCTGAGGCTCAGAGTGGTTAAGTTACTTACTAGCATAATGCTAGCAAGTGAAAGAGCCAGGACTTAAACCCAGATTTTCATACTGCCTAAAAGGTAAATGGCTCTGTGGCAAATGTGAAATAAGAAAGAGTTAATGTGCGGCAACTAAAAGCCAGAATGAGTTTGGAGCTGAGGATGATCTTGGGAGTAAGAGAGAATGAAGGAGATTTTATCCTAGGACTTACAAAGCTGTATCATCTGCTTGTGACCATAGTGAATGGCCCAGGTTATTGTAGCCTTTGATTTACTGTGTTGGAACCTGTCAAAGCACAAGGTAAATGCCTCTCAGATAAGATGAAAGAAACAAAAACCACAGCTTACATGACTTAGAGCAGAAATTCTTAGATATTTTGTTCCATGGATCCCTTTGTCATTCTGGCAATAGAATAACTTTAAAACAAAAACAAAAACAAAAACAAAAAACGAAAAACAAAGTCTCACTTCCATTGCCCAGGATGGAATGCAGTGGCATGATCTCGGCTCACTGCAGCCTTGACCTCCTGGGTTCAAGCAATCCTTCCACCTCAGTGGAATAGTTGGGACTGAATAGTTGGGACTACAGGCACACGCCATCATGGCTGGCTAATTTTTTGCATTTTTGGTAGAGACAGGGCTTCACCATATTTCCTAGGCTGGTCTCAAACTCCCGAGCTCAAGTGATCTGCTCACTTCAGCCTCCCAAAATGTTGGTATTACAGGCATGAGCCACTGAGCCCAGCCAGAATATTTTTAAATGCATAATAGGCAACTGATGACAAAGGAAACCAAATAAGTTAACAACATTATTATAAAGAAACGAATTTTGTGATATAATATATGCATCTTCTATATCATACACTAAATGATAAGATCTTGCTGGAGTAACTGCCACAATTTCAAAAACATCTTTCAGATATATGAGACAATCATAGTAAGAAATATTTCTGGTGTTCTTTTAGTTTTGCTGAAGCATAATTGTTATACAAAAGTTGTACATATTTATCATATACATCTTGATGAGTTTGGACATGAATATATAGCTATCATGCCATCACCACAATCAGGGCATCATCATTTCTATCACCTTCAAAAATCTCCTGTGTTCTTTTGTGTATGAACTTGTTTGTTTGCTTGTTTTTTGGTTAGAACACAACATAAGATCTATCCTCATATATTTTAAAATACACAACATCATATTGTTAACGACAAATACTATGTTGTACAACAGATCTAGAACTTATTCATCTTGCATAACAGAAACTTTATACCTGTTGAAAAATAATTTTCATTTCCCTCTTCCTGACTCTCTTGCAACCACCAATTTATTCTTCATTTCCATTAGGTTGACTGTTTAAATATCTCATATAAGTGGAATCAAGCAGTAGTTGCCCTTCTGTGACTGGTTTATTTTACTTAACATAATATCTTCTAGGTTCATCAATACTGTTGCAAATAAGAATTTCCTTTATTTTTAAGGCTAATTTTCCACTGCACTTATATACCACATTTGCTGTATCCAAGATGTAAATTTTTTCCATTCAAGCTAATCGAGCCCCAAATACTTTGACACACACTCTGCAGAATCATATAATGCCTGGAGACAGACAGGAAAACGAAAATATTCAGTGTAGGAGCAATGGGGAGGGATTCCACTTCTTCAAGTTCACCCAATATCCCTATGCAGTTTAAGCTAAATATGCAAATGGTAAACACTAGAAAACAGTGATTCTCGCACTCCTGTAATTCCAATTATGTGTATGTATGTGCATGTATTTATTGGTGTACTGAGGTGGAGGTTGCACAGACATTTAAATGGATTACATGAATTGCATTGTGTCAAGATCAGCATTATGGTGATAAGTATTATGTGGGATGTTGACGTTTAGAAATTTCTTATGACAATTTATGCCACTGAAGAACATCTGCTTGTTACTGTATGTTTTATTATATAAAAAATGCTGGTATTCACGTGCTCCCTAAATTAATTTAGCAAAAACTTAGATGAAAGATTTTCTCTAATAACCCTACAAACTTTCATCTCTTCTTTCCTTTTAATTCTTTGCACAACCTATACATACAGTAAGAGGAGCTTAAAAATAAAACCATTAAGGCACATTTCTTTCAAGAACCAGAAAGCTAGCAGAAGGGGCAAGAGTATTCAGAGAATGAGATACTAATGTTAAATTGGTGTTTTTCACATACATTTTTGAATCTCCCAAGCAGACATATTCATATTCATCCATAAATACAGAAACAAGATCCAAGGACGAATATAAAATACTTTTGTACCAGCTGCCACTTGAAGAATACCAATACTTACTCTTTCAGTATAATTGAGAGGGGCATTGACATAGAATATAGAGTGGAAATCAGAACCCTTAGTCCTGAATTCTAAGGAGTCCATCTAAATAGTCAGTAAATCTAGGCAGGTTGCATGAACCACTGATTTTATATTTGGTATTTGAAGCCTTATTGTTACTAGAAACTAATAATGATTATAATACTAGGAAGTAATAAATTAATTATCATTGTAATGACTAGTATAAAATTAAATTATAAAACAGCTTTAAGAAATCAAGAGACATGGGCACAATCTAAAAGGGTACTGTGGAATTACATTTTCATTAAGTTGTCAGAGGACACAGTTTACCATTAAGAGATTATCACAGGACTATTATCCAAGGTCATTCCTAGACAGACAAGGTTGTAGAAGGGTCCTGCGACATACAGTCTTCAACCAACTACAATACATTTCCCCAACAAGAACTTTTGTTAAATACTATTTACTGATTAAATACTAGAAGCTTCCAACAAGATCCAAAACTTAGGTTACCACAAGCCAAAGAGCACCTGGGGCTACCAGAAGTGAGAAGAAACAAGCAAAGACCCTTGCCTAGGGACTTGGGAGGAAACAGAGCCCAGCTGGCACCTTGATTACAGACTTCTAGTCTCCAGAACTGTGCGAAAATACATTTCTTTTGTTTTAAGCCATTACGTTTGTGATAATTTATTATGGTAGAACTAGAAAATAAATTCCTTAGGAGTTTTGACTTAGGCCAGAGACAAATGCCACCAGCGAGATTTGATAGGGGAGCGATATCATCAGATTTAGAGCTTAAAATCATGACTGACTACACTGGAAAATAAAGACTGGCAGGGGAGCAAGATTTGTTGAAGAAGAATTAAAGATTGTAGCAATAAAACCGGAAGTTATGTAGCTAAGAATCAGACCCAGTGATATCTCACCAGAGTTGTTCTAGCAAAAGCACTCTGGCTCTTGCTGCTTGGCTGCAACACTTTAGCACAAATGAAGATACTCCACCTTGGAAGCCAAACGTCCTGTGACTTCTCCTTCTGAAGAATTCAACCTGTCCACCACTATATGAACCCAGAGATTGACCCTGCATATGCTATGTCCTCATTCTACTCCTCTTGGGGAAAAAGGTCTCCTGTCATGTAACTTAGCAACAAAGAAAGTTGTGCAAACAAATTCGAGTGTCCACTTTAGTGTGACATATTCAGAATGTAAAAATTTCCAAACACAGGAAAAAACTTTAAATCTCTACAATGCCTAGTAAATGGAATTATCAAACCACTCACTCTGTATTTATTTACTTATTTGAGACAGAGGCTCACTCTGTCACCCAGGTTGAAGTGCAGTGGCACAATCTCCACTGACTGGAACCTCTGCCTCCAGAGTTCAAGTGATTCTCCTGCCTCAGCCTCCCGAGTAGCTGGGATTACAGGTGCCCACCACCATGCCTGGCTAATTTGTTTTACTTTTAGTAGAGACAGGGTTTCACCATATTGACCAGGCTGGTCTTGAACTCCTGACCTCAGGTGATCCACCTGCCTTGGCCTCCCAAAGTGCTGGGATTACAGGCGTGAAATCGCACCTGGCCCCATCATTTAATATACTTGTTCTCACAAAGTGCTGGGATAACAGGTATGAGCCACCATGCCTGGCCACCACTCACTCTTACTAACCAGAAATCTGGGATTCATATTTAATCTCTCTCTTCTTTTATATCCTTGTCCAATCAATCTTCAAATAATGTTGATTTTATCAACTTGATGTCTCTAAATGGATTTGTTTTTTCTCTTTTGTTCCCCCGTTCTAATATAACTTGGTATTATTCCTGGCTGAATAACTTCTGAGACTGGTACTCTCACAATCTTGACAGTGTGTGAGCTACCTAAAATCTTTTAACTAATATCTTCTTCAGCACAAACCAGTCGGAGAGGATTCTATTGTCTGCAAACAAGAATCCTGACTTTTGCACAAAGAGGAAAAATTAGATCATGATTGCTTAGAAAGGAATAGTTAAACAATAAGTTATCACAACAGATCATCTTCAATAACAAAGAGAACTTGTACTTGTCTGGTTTATATACAATGGATTCAGGAGAGTGAAATATGCTGAAATCATTTTAATTAAACCACAACTAAAATATTGTCTAGGTCATTTTCTTATCTGAACTGGCCTTTGCTAAGAAGTTTATCAGCAAACAAATGCAAGAAATATTTTGTGTGTCTCTGTGTGTGTATGAATCAGAAAGACTAAAATTTTGCAATTTTAGGCATGGGGATAAAAAATAGTTATCTAAATACATGTCTTTGGAATCCTCATGAGAACGAGCCTGTCATTATTATATAAAGTTATTTTTCTAGTCAAGTAATTTTGGGTGGAAGGTGAGGCCTTGTGAATATTAGTTAACAGAAAGAATATTGCTAAACTGATCTGCATTCAAAATGAGCAGAAATTAGATGTGTGCTAATTAGAAAGCAGAAGAGAGAAGATCAAGAGAAGTGAGAAGAAGGCAAAGGGAAGAAAGATAAATGAGAGAGAAACAAACGTTTCAGAGACAGATATTGATGTGAAGTGTTTTTTTAAAGTGAGACCTAATAGTCTATTTTCAATTTGTTTACATGGCTACACTATAACTTTCAGTAAACCCATTTCTAATAAAATAAACCCATTTCTAATAAAAAAAAAAATCAGTAAACCCAATTCTAATAAAATTTACTACCCACATAAAAGCTTTGGCTGACCCTTATTTTTGTGGTAATTAAGAAAAGTGGCCAGGTATGGTGGTTCATGTCTGTAATCCCAGCACTTTAGGAGGCCAAGGGTGGTAGATTGCTTGTGCCCAGAAGTTCCAACATGGTAAGACTCCATCTCTACAGAAAATACAAAAGTTAGCCAGGCATAGTGATGCATGCCTGTAGTCCCAACTACCTGGGAGGCTGAGATGGCAGGAGGAGGATGACTTGAACCCAGAA